CACTATAAGGCTATGTCATCGTCAGTGGCCCCGGCCGTCCCCGGGCACCTGCAAGAATGATTCATGTGACTAATGACAGACTCGCGGCACGTGGAGAGCGTCATACGTCTTCCAAGTGTCATGATACAAGGTGTCATCGGTGCAGCAGAAAGGGCTTTATCCGTACCTGGCACCGACCCAGGGAGTCCGAACCCTAAAACCTCAGGAGGTGACAGGTGTGAAGCCCGCTGTGGCCTGCCCGTCGCGGAGCTGCAGAGTCGCGTAGGTCTGCAGTGGTCGCTGGTGGGACGCCCCGGGCGGTGTCCAGCCGGACTGGGAGCTGTGCAGCCCTAGAGGCCGCAGACAAAATCAGGAACAGCCCAAGGTTTATGAAGTCCTTTCTCTTTGTTAAACCGTTGACCAAATATCAGGAAGTGAGAAACAGAGGCAGGTGTCGGGGCGGTGATAACTGTAGAATGTTCTAGCGATGGGGGCCTGCGTTGGGGGCTTCGTGTCCGTTCAGAGGCTCCGTGCGCGTGGAGCCCGCTGGCCATGCTCGCGGCGGGCCTAGAAGGAGGCAGCCTCTGCGGGGCGTCCGTCCCCACCCTCACTCCCACCCCCGGGGACGAGGACGCACCCCTCAAGGCCCCGGTCCCTGGAACGCGGTGGCGGGGAGCAGCACAGGACGCAGCACGGAGGGAGAAGTCAGGGTTTAGGGGCAGGCGAGGGGCGCCCAGCCTCTGCCATGACCCCAGGTGAGGCGAAGGCAGCTCCCCTGGGGAGGAGCCCGGGTGGTGAAGGTGCAGACACCCCAGGACTGAGTGCGGGGGCGGACCCGCAGGTCTCTCTCCTCGAGGGCCCTGGGGGCTTCGCTCTGCAGTTTTCCAGACTCGCCGGAGCTGATGGGGCCCGGCAGGCGTTTCCAGTAGCTGTTGGGGCAGTGTGGACAGCTTGGGGTGCAGGGTAGAGCATGAGTGACACAGCGCCCCATGGTGGCCGACAGAGGGGACACCCTAGGGGAAAGCCAGGTCCTTAGGATGTGTTCTGTGCAGGGGGGACACGTAAGATCAAAAATCCACAGGCAGTTGCTTAGCCCCATGGAGCCAGCAGAGCGGCAGAGGCAAGGTCATGTTGTGCTTCATCTAATTTTCTCTCAGCCCAGCGTCATCGGTGCTACCCAAGGGTTGTCGTCATCCCCCGAAGGGCTGGAAACTTTCATTATAAAAGGTTTTATCAACGGGACACATCATGAATATCTTTTTTTTTTTTTTTTTTGCTGTTCTTTCTCAGATATTATGCAGATCTTGCTTATGTTACCTTGATATCACTCAAGCCAATCCTATATGAGAGACGTAAATCCACGTCTGCTCATTTTTTCAATGTTCTGTGTTCATAAACTCAAGGGAAACAATTCAAAGGTGCTATCATACAAAAAAAAAATAAAACAGAGGGTCATTTTATGACCGTTAAAAGGTCATATTTTATTTCTTTGACACAGATTCTTTCTTTGGAGTGAACCACTATCTTTATAGACTCTCCAAAATGCGGTGTAAGTGAAAACGGTGTTACCCGGGATAATGTTTACACACACACACACACACACACACACACACGCATGCACACACGCACACACAGAAACGCACATCAGGAACTGGTCCAGGAGTTCCCTCTAGGAAAGAAAAGACTTCCATTCTTATTTATCCTTTTGTACTTTCTAATGTTATACCGTGTGTACATATTCGTATTCAAAAAATATAACGAAACAAACATAAGCACTGGGTAAAGGGAACCCATTGGTAAACAGAATGAAGTGGCAAAGCCGTGGGGTGGCCGTCTGGTTAGCAGGCCCGCAGCATGGCATGGGGAGCAGTGAAAGCACTCGCTTTGCTGGAGGGCACGGCCATGCTGCACATGGGGACACCCAGCTCGAGAAAGAGCCTGGCGAAAATGTGTCCCAGCAGCCCCGCAGAGCACAGAGCAGGCCGCCCTCGAAACGGAAGAGCATCCTTGTATAAGCTTTTAAATTAAAAAAACAAACAAACGAACAGACAAACAAAATGCTTCTGCTAGGGTATTGAGGTGACCTCCAAAGGACTGAGTGTAATGCATGAACGGTGACGTTAAACCCGCTGTGCCCCCAGTGGAGAAGCATCTCGGTGGCCGCACTGTGCTGAGGGGAGGTGCCGGGACCTGGAACGGGCCCAGGCTGCGGCGCGGCGGACCCCTCCCGCTGCAGCGCCCTGTGATGCTCTCTTCCCAGAGTTCAACATGTTCCACATGGTCGCCGTGGGGCTGAGCAGCTCCATCCTGGGCTGCCTTCTTACGCTCCTCGTCTACACCTACTGCCAGCGGTACCAGCAGCAATCTCACGACGCCACGGTCATCCACCCCGTCGCGCCCGCCCCGCTCAACACCAGCATAACCAACCACATCAACAAACTGGACAAGTATGACTCGGTGGAGGCCATCAAGGTGAGGGACGGGCAGCGACCGCCGCAGCCGATGTGCGAGGAAGGCGGGTGGACCCGGGGGCTGCCAGCAAAGCGGGGTCGTGGTGGGGCGCAGGCGACGGAGTGGGGCCAAGGTAACGGGCCCCCGTCATGGGGAACTACCTGTTTGGTTTTGCTTTGCCTGTGAAAAGATGGCATCTCGTAGAGGGAATGTAGATTAAAAATGGAACGTGGAAACGACAGCAAATAAAATGCTCAAAAATACTAGGTTATCGGCCAGTGTCCAGCTCCGCCTCCACTGTGCCGTCTGCATCCAATGGGAGGCCACGTCCAAGAGAAGAGGTCCAGGCCGAGGACCAGTACGCACTGGGCAGTGGCGGTGAGGACCAGGGTTGGGCAATCAGATATCAGGTCCATTTCAGATTCCCCCAGATGGCGAATGTTACATTATTATAAAGAGTCTGTTCAAATAATTTTTAAGCACGAATAAGCACAATGAAAGTTCCTTAACTTTGGGTGATGGGAAAGTGCTGTGTGACCGGTGTGTTTTGTTAAATTTTCCTCATGGGTGATTAATCCACTGTTTGATCCAGAAATTGGAGTAAATGACCAGTGTCCTCATCCCCAGGAAGGAGGGGTGGCGAGCGTCAGCGCCTGGCAGACCTGGGGTCACCGGTCACTTACCAGCCGGGTGAACTTACTCGTTATTCCCACCCACTTACCCTCCATTTTGTCCTTAATAAATTGAAAATAATGAAAATCAACGGAGGCAAATTATGAAATGCCTTGAACAGTGCCTGACCAAAAAAAAAAAAAAAAAATGTAGTTTTAATTTGAGGCATTTGCAGAGTACAGATTATCAGCTGGTCTTCTGTTCACACTTAAGATTCTGTAGCCACTTAAGACATCAGACATCTCGCTGCTATGAGGCAGAGGACCTGGGGACACTGACTACTGCCTGGTGGCTAATCATCCCTTCAGGAATTTCCTTCTCACACCTCGCCCAGACTGGTCCTGGGCACTCGGCCTCTGCCTGCCGTCCTTCGTCTTTATTTTGGTCCAATTCTTCCCCTCCACTTGGGGTAGTTCAGCTCTTCGAAAGCACGGCTGGCTTTAATGATTGTGCATAAGGAAGGACACCTGTGTCAGAAGAGCCCTTGCTGTCACTTTCTAACAGGTGCAGAAAACGAAATGAAACCAGGTCATTTGAAATTCCATGCATTTACTTAAGTCCCATCAAGACATCTTATCAATGAATCCGTCCGCGGTAATCACGCAGCCTCTAAATATCTGCTCGGACGTGATAACGTTCGAAGTGTTCGTTCATTTGAAATCACCAGAGTCTTAGGATTCCTCGAGGGTTAGTTTTAAATTTCCCAACTCTTAAACCTTCCTGTCTAAAACTCAAAAAGAGACTGAAAGGTCCCCCAAAACTGCCAACCTCATTCTGGTTGTGAGTCCACGACTTCAAGACATTATTGAAGGTGAGGAAGCAGGTGACGGAGGGGACACATTTTCCAACAGCGGAGCCTCGAGACAGAGCTCAGAGCTCAGACGCGGCATCGCCAGCTCCACAGTATGCTTTTTCTGAAACCCCCCTTACAGAGTATTTGTAAATCTCTGATTTTATTTTTATTTTTTACAGGCATTTAACAAAAACAACTTGATCCTAGAGGAAAGAAACAAATACTTCAACCCACATCTTACTGGGAAGACTTATTCTAACGCCTACTTTACAGATCTCAATAATTATGATGAGTACTAATAGCTCTTATATTTTTAGCTTCTTGTAATTCCCAGTTCCTCAAGGCCTGTGCTACGTGACTGCCCATGTTTCCGAGACTTCAGAGATGAAGTTTGGATAATTTCAAGTGCATTTCAAGCCACGAGTGTCCCATTGCTGCCAAAAATAGCTGTCCTTAAAAGCAACACAGATCTAATGATGACATTGTGAAAATCGGGTCTACAGTACTTGATCATTGTCAGATGAGCCATGGTGTGGCGTTTGTGTGTGTGTGTGTCTGTTCAGTCCATTTTTCTAACAAGTCGGTTGTTTTCTTGAGCTTTTTAATAAATGTCCCACCTACATTGGAACGAGTCTTCAGGAATAGGAACCTCTTCTTGCTCTTGAGCATACATCTTCATGATGTTTTAATTCAAGAAAATCGTCACCTTATATGAGAGCCCCCCACACACATGCACGCGCGCGTGCATGCACACACACACACACACACATGCACGCACGCACGAGTGCTTAGGTCCATAGTATTGATAAAACAAAAACTAGGAGTGTGGCCATACAGTGGTTCGCCATGAGTCTCCCATCTGCCCGGTCTGCATAATCCTGTGGAATTCTTGGAAGCAGCTCGTGTGCTTGGACGTGGAGTGCGTCTTGCCTGAGGAAGCCCAGGGTCCCACCCGATTCGCATCCGCAGAGGCGATGGCCTGGGGTGTGAGGCGCTCCACCCTGGGTCTCGATGCACTTGCTGTGTCACCGCTGGGGTAGGCG